AAAGAGGTAATACTGTAAGCAAAGGTTAAGTGAAACGAAAGCGAACTTCTCGATATTTTAACCAATAGAGATATGTCTGCTTCAAGTACCTTGCAAATATCCGTAGCCAGGCTTAATAATGAATAAGAACTTGAGTAGTCTTAGGTTTATGTGGTGACTGACGACTGAAATGCGCATAATGAAATGACTAGGCCTTACGACGAAAGTGTATTTCACCTAGTCCTCCCCCCCAAAACGGTTTCCTTATTGTAATTGGTACTTGCAAAAGGTCTGCCTGACCACTCTTTTACTTCGCTGACAGCATGACGCAATGCATCTGCCAGTGATACCGAACAACCTGGGCTCGACTCTGGTCGGTAGAAATTATTAGACCAAATCGGGCTTGAGACTCGTCAATTTTGGGAGAAACGACCATAAGCTATTTATAGGAAAGAGTAAACCTTCATCTTACTTAATAGTACAGACAGATCATTCTTCAATTAGTCATACATAAAAAGAAACAGAGTTTTGATGAAACTTCTGCTTAATTGGGGATAAAAGTCACCTGTTTAAAATAGAATTCATCAATTTAGCCAAATATATCAGTCTTATTAAGGGGACAGAATAGAGGTATTCACCCTATTTCGTTTAAGTTGATAAGGGGACTGTTAGTTGAATTTTCTCATAATCATTTTATTAGACATTACGCTTCCATTGAATTTCACTTAGCCTTCCTTTCCCAAAACGGATTCTCATCTCAGCTAGAGTGAATAACAGTTTCAGGCCCGCACCTCAGGCGGTACTCGAACCATGACAGTACATCGTATAATTTAGAGACATTAACCACTACGTCTCGAAAACCTATTAATAAAAATGTAAATTTTGTTATCGCATGCTGAAACGATGGACACTAGTTTCATACAAATCAACAATTGAACTAATGTAAAAAAAAAAAAATCCTATGTTATATAATTGGTGAAAAAACATTTTGAGACGATGGGATGCGTGGAATTCCCTGGTATGGAGGAGCTGATTTCAACTCTCATAACTATGAGTTGGTTTGAGCATAAGTTCATAACTTGATCGTTGTGACTGAGAGACCTTACATATAGCAGGCAAATAGGAACCGTTTGCTCTAGAATTTCACCATTCCACAGTCAATTCCCAAAAGTATTTCTGCATCATAGTCGTCATAGTCGTTGAGAAGCTCCGACAATAGCGTCGAATAACAAACCGCAAAAGTAACAAGTAAAGGTAATCCTCTTGGGCTAGCATCTTTTCCATAATTATAGCCTCACTTCTCACTCTTCCCATCTCCTGTTCTAACTCTTAGCTTTTTACTCTCCTCCTACACTTCCAGTTCATATTGCGATTATCCATAGTCACAATGGTCACAATGGTTTGACAGAAAATTAGCCACAAAGCCTGCTTTTACTTGTCATTTCGACGAGTTTTGCGCGGTGCCAAAAATGGCGCTTCTTTCTGCCGGTGAGAGTTCCGAGGATTTAGCAAGAAAAATGGTCCGATGTTGGAACGTGGCAGAACTACTATGGTAAATGACAAAGTTCTGAGTACCTTCCTCAGGGTCCCCCAGATGTCGAGAGCAAATTGTGGAAACGAGGTCGAACCAAGTTAATGCGATGAAAGGACCCAATACAAGGCCCCACCAGCTTGTTCCTCCTATCAATTCGTCCGAGTATAATCTTATGGGCCTTAGGGTGACTTAGGTTCTTGTTCAAGGGCTTCTAATACCTGCGAATTGCATTCATTCGATATCAGATGTGAATGAGCATAGTTGCGCAGAGTGGAGTGGACAAATAAGAAAAGTTTTATTATGTCTTTGACTCCTTCTCCCACAGACCCCATACATAACAGACAACATTCAGCTATGAATATATATACACATCTCAAAAATTGATTGCAATCTTATTTCCATAAGAGTAGGTTTAGAGCCCCTTAGTCGAAAATTCAGTCCAGCCTGGATGAGATAAACTTTTGAAGGGCAATGCTAGGGGAAATGTATTGGCATCATGTGGCTTACTTATTTCGTCGTGGGAAAACTCATCTATAGGTCTTTACATTATCGTATGCGACCTGGTGGGATTTCCGGCTTGCGATTACAATAAGTCAGGTTACTCATATTTCATGTGATCATATGTTGCAACTTTCGGTGATTCTTGAATAAGAGCATCCTCATTCGGAATCTAAGCAATCCATTGGCATTGGTGCCTGTGTAGTAGTAAGCTCAACAAACTTACTTATTCTGAGAGTAGAGGGCTCGGTACAGGACGACGCCTAAATGCCTTCTCGGACCAGGCGGATTGTAGAAAATTTTCAGCCTCCATTGTTCTTTGGTATTGGCTTCCTGCCAGACTGAGAGAATTGATCCGTCCCAGACATTGGATAGTTTGGATGGACAGTCGATTTCTACGAATTGAGGGCCTGTCGCGCTCACCAACTCCCAGCATGTGACTCGTGAGGTCGAGTTGCTGTCCTCCTGGTTGCTGGAGGTAAAAAAGATTAGAGTCTGTCGTGTCAGATTCAGACTGACCAGTTCGAATGTGAGTTTTTCGTCATTTTCTTGTGACTTGAAAAGATCATGTAAGCCAATTATACGAATCCATGCGTCATCTTCACTGGCCTC